TAGTCAGGTTTAAGTCCCCACAAGGATATATAAACCAGTACACACGCACACACACACATACTCACACACACACACATACTCATAAACACACACACACTCATAAACACTCACACACACTCACTCGCACCCACATACTCGCACACTCACTCGCACCCACATACTCGCACACTCACTCGCACCCACATACTCGCACACTCACTCGCACCCACATACTCGCACACTCACTCGCACCCACATACTCGCACACTCACTCGCACCCACATACTCGCACACTCACTCGCACCCACATACTCGCACACTCACTCGCACCCACATACTCGCACACTCACTCGCACCCACATACTCGCACACTCACTCGCACCCACATACTCGCACACTCACTCGCACCCACATACTCGCACACTCACTCGCACCCACATACTCGCACACTCACTCGCACCCACATACTCGCACACTCACTCGCACCCACATACTCGCACACTCACTCGCACCCACATACTCGCACACTCACTCGCACCCACATACTCGCACACTCACTCGCACCCACATACTCGCACACTCACTCGCACCCACATACTCGCACACTCACTCGCACCCACATACTCGCACACTCACTCGCACCCACATACTCGCACACTCACTCGCACCCACATACTCGCACACTCACTCGCACCCACATACTCGCACACTCACTCGCACCCACATACTCGCACACTCACTCGCACCCACATACTCGCACACTCACTCGCACCCACATACTCGCACACTCACTCGCACCCACATACTCGCACACTCACTCGCACCCACATACTCGCACACTCACTCGCACCCACATACTCGCACACTCACTCGCACCCACATACTCGCACACTCACTCGCACCCACATACTCGCACACTCACTCGCACCCACATACTCGCACACTCACTCGCACCCACATACTCGCACACTCACTCGCACCCACATACTCGCACACTCACTCGCACCCACATACTCGCACACTCACTCGCACCCACATACTCGCACACTCACTCGCACCCACATACTCGCACACTCACTCGCACCCACATACTCGCACACTCACTCGCACCCACATACTCGCACACTCACTCGCACCCACATACTCGCACACTCACTCGCACCCACATACTCGCACACTCACTCGCACCCACATACTCGCACACTCACTCGCACCCACATACTCGCACACTCACTCGCACCCACATACTCGCACACTCACTCGCACCCACATACTCGCACACTCACTCGCACCCACATACTCGCACACTCACTCGCACCCACATACTCGCACACTCACTCGCACCCACATACTCGCACACTCACTCGCACCCACATACTCGCACACTCACTCGCACCCACATACTCGCACACTCACTCGCACCCACATACTCGCACACTCACTCGCACCCACATACTCGCACACTCACTCGCACCCACATACTCGCACACTCACTCGCACCCACATACTCGCACACTCACTCGCACCCACATACTCGCACACTCACTCGCACCCACATACTCGCACACTCACTCGCACCCACATACTCGCACACTCACTCGCACCCACATACTCGCACACTCACTCGCACCCACATACTCGCACACTCACTCGCACCCACATACTCGCACACTCACTCGCACCCACATACTCGCACACTCACTCGCACCCACATACTCGCACACTCACTCGCACCCACATACTCGCACACTCACTCGCACCCACATACTCGCACACTCACTCGCACCCACATACTCGCACACTCACTCGCACCCACATACTCGCACACTCACTCGCACCCACATACTCGCACACTCACTCGCACCCACATACTCGCACACTCACTCGCACCCACATACTCGCACACTCACTCGCACCCACATACTCGCACACTCACTCGCACCCACATACTCGCACACTCACTCGCACCCACATACTCGCACACTCACTCGCACCCACATACTCGCACACTCACTCGCACCCACATACTCGCACACTCACTCGCACCCACATACTCGCACACTCACTCGCACCCACATACTCGCACACTCACTCGCACCCACATACTCGCACACTCACTCGCACCCACATACTCGCACACTCACTCGCACCCACATACTCGCACACTCACTCGCACCCACATACTCGCACACTCACTCGCACCCACATACTCGCACACTCACTCGCACCCACATACTCGCACACTCACTCGCACCCACATACTCGCACACTCACTCGCACCCACATACTCGCACACTCACTCGCACCCACATACTCGCACACTCACTCGCACCCACATACTCGCACACTCACTCGCACCCACATACTCGCACACTCACTCGCACCCACATACTCGCACACTCACTCGCACCCACATACTCGCACACTCACTCGCACCCACATACTCGCACACTCACTCGCACCCACATACTCGCACACTCACTCGCACCCACATACTCGCACACTCACTCGCACCCACATACTCGCACACTCACTCGCACCCACATACTCGCACACTCACTCGCACCCACATACTCGCACACTCACTCGCACCCACATACTCGCACACTCACTCGCACCCACATACTCGCACACTCACTCGCACCCACATACTCGCACACTCACTCGCACCCACATACTCGCACACTCACTCGCACCCACATACTCGCACACTCACTCGCACCCACATACTCGCACACTCACTCGCACCCACATACTCGCACACTCACTCGCACCCACATACTCGCACACTCACTCGCACCCACATACTCGCACACTCACTCGCACCCACATACTCGCACACTCACTCGCACCCACATACTCGCACACTCACTCGCACCCACATACTCGCACACTCACTCGCACCCACATACTCGCACACTCACTCGCACCCACATACTCGCACACTCACTCGCACCCACATACTCGCACACTCACTCGCACCCACATACTCGCACACTCACTCGCACCCACATACTCGCACACTCACTCGCACCCACATACTCGCACACTCACTCGCACCCACATACTCGCACACTCACTCGCACCCACATACTCGCACACTCACTCGCACCCACATACTCGCACACTCACTCGCACCCACATACTCGCACACTCACTCGCACCCACATACTCGCACACTCACTCGCACCCACATACTCGCACACTCACTCGCACCCACATACTCGCACACTCACTCGCACCCACATACTCGCACACTCACTCGCACCCACATACTCGCACACTCACTCGCACCCACATACTCGCACACTCACTCGCACCCACATACTCGCACACTCACTCGCACCCACATACTCGCACACTCACTCGCACCCACATACTCGCACACTCACTCGCACCCACATACTCGCACACTCACTCGCACCCACATACTCGCACACTCACTCGCACCCACATACTCGCACACTCACTCGCACACACACTCACACACACAGACACACACACACTCTCACACTCACACACACGTGTCTCACTCACACACACACTCACTCACACACACACACACTCACGCACACACAATTTTCAAAATGACAATTCACAATTTTTCAAAATTTTCAGCTTTATTTTTTATTGTAGTTGAAGTTTTATTAATTGTTTGACTGCTTTTGTCTGCTTTCTGCTTTTTTATTAGTTTTAGTTTTTTTTTTTCTGAATGGCTTTATTTTTATTTCAGGTTTAGATCCTAGTGATTTTAATACTTCTATCAGTTTCTAAATATGAAATTTCTAAATTTCATTGAGTTTTTAATCTAACTTTTTATTTAACTTCAGCTTATTTCCATTAACAAACTATTTTTAATAGTTTTAGTAAATAACACTGACACACTCTTATTCTCTGTGGACGTCTTTCAGTCTAAGTGTGTGTGTGTGTGTGTGTGTGTTTTCTCAGGTTTAAAGTGTTCGCTATCGCAGACGGATCAACTGAACGCACTAAAGACATCATCAAGAGGTGTGTGCATGCTCTAAATTAAGTTTTATTATTATTTATTAAATCTATTAAATGTATTTATTTATTTAGGTTTTTTTTTTGTTTTTCTTTCAAAAAAAGTAAAGTTCCAGGTGACTGAGAAGGCTTCAGTTCTTGTGCTGCTGGGTTTTATTTTTTTTTTGAGACACAAGTTAATCATCTCTGTGTTCATCAGTGGTGTTTGTGTGTAACTGCTTGTGTTTGTATGTTGGACTGTAATGATCACGTGTGTGTTTCAGGAAGGAGGACATTCATGTTCTGGTGCTGTTTAATTTGATTCAGAGCACACTAGTGCTCACCAACGCCCAGATGAAGAACTACAGGCCCTTCCAGGTACACCCACACACACACACACACACACACACACGTGTTGATATAGTGTTCACGTGTCACTGATCATGTCTGTCTCTCTGTGTGTCAGACGTTCTGTCTCTACACGCGCTACAGGGAGGAGGTTTTGTCTCAGGCCTTCCAGACGTGTCGTAATCGTGCGCTAGTGAACCGCCGGCGGCCCACGTCCATCTACGGCCTGAAGAAGTGCCACGCGCTGCCTTTCCTGCCCATGTCCTACCAGCTCTCACAGCACTACTACAAGTAACACTCACACACCAAACAGAGTTCAACAGAGTTCTCGTGATTCCAGACAGCTTGCAGTGCGCTCATGTTCAGCACTGTCCACCGCAGGTTCTTCACGTGGCGTTTCCCCAGCACCATCTATAACGAGGCGTTCGATCTGCTGACGGGTTTGTGCGAGGCCGGCGGCAGCGACAGACCCAACAGCTTCTCCTTCCAGAAGGAGCCTGAGACATCGGGAGTGCAGCCGGAGACGGACGAGGACGAGACGCAGGGCATGCTGCAGTTCCCCATGGACGCTCCGGGGGGCGCCAGCGCCTGCTGCCTGACCCTCATGACCCTGGGGCTGCTGTCTGTGGACATCAGCATCCCGCAGCAGATCGTGGTGGTGGACAGCACGCTGATGGACAGCGACGTGGTCAAGAGGTACTGTACGCGGTTAACACGCACTGATATACATGCTGAAGACTCCATATCTGTGCTAAAGACTCTCTACTGATATACGCGCTGAAGGCTCACTACCGATATATGTGCTAAAGACTCGCTACCAATATACGCACCAAAGACTCGTCACAGATATATGCGCCAAAGACTCATTACAGATATGTGCTAAAGACTCGTTACCGATATATGCGCCAAAGACTCGTTACCGATATATGTGCTAAAAACTCGCTACCAATATACGCACCAAAGACTCGTTAACGCCATATGTGGTAAAGACTCGCTACAGATATATGCTCCAAAGAATTGCTACCGATATACACACCAAAGACTCATTACCGATATATGTGCTAAAGACTCGTTACAGATATATACTCCAAAGAATCGCTACCGATATACACACCAAAGACTCATTACAGATATATGTGCCAAAGACTCGTTACAGATATGAGCCAAAGACTCGTTACCAATAGACGCTCCAAAGACTCGTTACAGATATATATTTCAAAGAATCGCTACCGATATACACACCATAGACTCGTTCCCGATATATGTGCTAAAGACTCGTTAAAGATATATGCGCTAGGGCTGTGCAATTAATCGCATGCGATTGTCATGCGCATCTCATCAGTAAAGCCATCGTTACCGATATATGTGCTAAAGACTCGTTACCGATATATGTGCTAAAGACTCGTTACCGATATATGTGCTAAAGACTCGTTACCGATATATGTGCTAAAGACTCGTTACCGATATATGTGCTAAAGACTCGTTACCGATATATGTGCTAAAGACTCGTTACCGATATATGTGCTAAAGACTCGTTACCGATATATGTGCTAAAGACTCGTTACCGATATATGTGCTAAAGACTCGTTACCGATATATGTGCTAAAGACTCGTTACCGATATATGTGCTAAAGACTCGTTACCGATATATGTGCTAAAGACTCGTTACCGATATATGTGCTAAAGACTCGTTACCGATATATGTGCTAAAGACTCGTTACCGATATATGTGCTAAAGACTCGTTACCGATATATGTGCTAAAGACTCGTTACCGATATATGTGCTAAAGACTCGTTACCGATATATGTGCTAAAGACTCGTTACCGATATATGTGCTAAAGACTCGTTACCGATATATGTGCTAAAGACTCGTTACCGATATATGTGCTAAAGACTCGTTACCGATATATGTGCTAAAGACTCGTTACCGATATATGTGCTAAAGACTCGTTACCGATATATGTGCTAAAGACTCGTTACCGATATATGTGCTAAAGACTCGTTACCGATATATGTGCTAAAGACTCGTTACCGATATATGTGCTAAAGACTCGTTACCGATATATGTGCTAAAGACTCGTTACCGATATATGTGCTAAAGACTCGTTACCGATATATGTGCTAAAGACTCGTTACCGATATATGTGCTAAAGACTCGTTACCGATATATGTGCTAAAGACTCGTTACCGATATATGTGCTAAAGACTCGTTACCGATATATGTGCTAAAGACTCGTTACCGATATATGTGCTAAAGACTCGTTACCGATATATGTGCTAAAGACTCGTTACCGATATATGTGCTAAAGACTCGTTACCGATATATGTGCTAAAGACTCGTTACCGATATATGTGCTAAAGACTCGTTACCGATATATGTGCTAAAGACTCGTTACCGATATATGTGCTAAAGACTCGTTACCGATATATGTGCTAAAGACTCGTTACCGATATATGTGCTAAAGACTCGTTACCGATATATGTGCTAAAGACTCGTTACCGATATATGTGCTAAAGACTCGTTACCGATATATGTGCTAAAGACTCGTTACCGATATATGTGCTAAAGACTCGTTACCGATATATGTGCTAAAGACTCGTTACCGATATATGTGCTAAAGACTCGTTACCGATATATGTGCTAAAGACTCGTTACCGATATATGTGCTAAAGACTCGTTACCGATATATGTGCTAAAGACTCGTTACCGATATATGTGCTAAAGACTCGTTACCGATATATGTGCTAAAGACTCGTTACCGATATATGTGCTAAAGACTCGTTACCGATATATGTGCTAAAGACTCGTTACCGATATATGTGCTAAAGACTCGTTACCGATATATGTGCTAAAGACTCGTTACCGATATATGTGCTAAAGACTCGTTACCGATATATGTGCTAAAGACTCGTTACCGATATATGTGCTAAAGACTCGTTACCGATATATGTGCTAAAGACTCGTTACCGATATATGTGCTAAAGACTCGTTACCGATATATGTGCTAAAGACTCGTTACCGATATATGTGCTAAAGACTCGTTACCGATATATGTGCTAAAGACTCGTTACCGATATATGTGCTAAAGACTCGTTACCGATATATGTGCTAAAGACTCGTTACCGATATATGTGCTAAAGACTCGTTACCGATATATGTGCTAAAGACTCGTTACCGATATATGTGCTAAAGACTCGTTACCGATATATGTGCTAAAGACTCGTTACCGATATATGTGCTAAAGACTCGTTACCGATATATGTGCTAAAGACTCGTTACCGATATATGTGCTAAAGACTCGTTACCGATATATGTGCTAAAGACTCGTTACCGATATATGTGCTAAAGACTCGTTACCGATATATGTGCTAAAGACTCGTTACCGATATATGTGCTAAAGACTCGTTACCGATATATGTGCTAAAGACTCGTTACCGATATATGTGCTAAAGACTCGTTACCGATATATGTGCTAAAGACTCGTTACCGATATATGTGCTAAAGACTCGTTACCGATATATGTGCTAAAGACTCGTTACCGATATATGTGCTAAAGACTCGTTACCGATATATGTGCTAAAGACTCGTTACCGATATATGTGCTAAAGACTCGTTACCGATATATGTGCTAAAGACTCGTTACCGATATATGTGCTAAAGACTCGTTACCGATATATGTGCTAAAGACTCGTTACCGATATATGTGCTAAAGACTCGTTACCGATATATGTGCTAAAGACTCGTTACCGATATATGTGCTAAAGACTCGTTACCGATATATGTGCTAAAGACTCGTTACCGATATATGTGCTAAAGACTCGTTACCGATATATGTGCTAAAGACTCGTTACCGATATATGTGCTAAAGACTCGTTACCGATATATGTGCTAAAGACTCGTTACCGATATATGTGCTAAAGACTCGTTACCGATATATGTGCTAAAGACTCGTTACCGATATATGTGCTAAAGACTCGTTACCGATATATGTGCTAAAGACTCGTTACCGATATATGTGCTAAAGACTCGTTACCGATATATGTGCTAAAGACTCGTTACCGATATATGTGCTAAAGACTCGTTACCGATATATGTGCTAACGACTCGTTACCGATATATGTGCTAAAGACTCGTTACCGATATATGTGCTAACGACTCGTTACCGATATATGTGCTAAAGACTCGCTACCAATATACGCACCAAAGACTCGTCACAGATATATGTGCCAAAGACTCATTACAGATATGTGCTAAAGACTCGTTACCGATATATGCGCCAAAGACTCGTTACCGATATATGTGCTAAAAACTCGCTACCAATATACGCACCAAAGACTCGTTAACGCCATATGTGGTAAAGACTTGCTACAGATATATGCTCCAAAGAATTGCTACCGATATACACACCAAATACTCATTACCGATATATGTGCTAAAGACTCGTTACAGATATATACTCCAAAGAATCGCTACCGATATACACACCAAAGACTCATTACAGATATATGTGCCAAAGACTCGTTACAGATATGAGCCAAAGACTCGTTACCAATAGACGCTCCAAAGACTCGTTACAGATATATATTTCAAAGAATCGCTACCGATATACACACCAAAGACTCGTTACCGATATATGTGCTAAAGACTCGTTGCCGATGTATGTGCTGAAGACTCGTTACGATATATATGCTAAAGACTCGTTACCGATATATGTGCTAAAGACTCGTTAAAGATATATGCGCTAGGGCTGTGCAATTAATCGCATGCGATTGTCATGCGCATCTCATCAGTAAAGCCAGTCCCGTGATTAGTAGTAAATCTCCATCACCTGCTTTTAGATGGAGCGGCATTCACTACACCGAGCCGTAGTTCACTGACAATCAGGCAATATCGCGTTCATAATTGCAGATGAATCGCATTCGATTATGAACGCGATATCGCCTAGCTTGTCAGTGAACTACGGCTCTGTGTAGTGAATGCCGCTCCATCTGAAAGCAGGTGATGGAGATTTACTACTAATCACAGGACCGGCTTTACTGACGAGATGCGCATGACAATCGCATGCGATTAATTGCACAGCCCTAATATGCGCCAAAGAATCGCAACCGATAGACGCACCAAAGACTCATTACCAATAGACGCTCCAAAGACTCGTTACCAATAGACGCTCCAAAGACTCGTTACCATTAGACGTTCCAAAGACTCGTTACCAATAGACGCTCCAAAGACTCATTACAGATATATACTCCAAAGAATCGCTACCGATATACACACCATAGACTCGTTCCCGATATATGTGCTAAAGACTCGTTACCAATAGACGCTCCAAAGACTCGTTACAGATATATACTCCAAAGAATCGCTACCGATATACACACCATAGACTCGTTCCCGATATATGTGCTAAAGACTCGTTACCAATAGACGCTCCAAAGACTCGTTACAGATATATACTCCAAAGAATCGCTACCGATATACACACCATAGACTCGTTCCCGATATATGTGCTAAAGACTCGTTACCGATATATGTGCTAAAGACTCGTTACCGATATATGTGCTAAAGACTCGTTACCGATATATGTGCTAACGACTCGTTACCGATATATGTGCTAAAGACTCGTTACTGATATGTGCTAAAGACTCGTTAACGACATGTGCTAAAGACTCGTTACAGATATATGTGCCAAAAATCGCTACCGATATACATGCCAAAGACTCATTGCAGATATACGTGCTAAAGACTTCTTACCGATATATGTGATAAAACTCGCTAAAGGTATACGTGCTAAAGACTTGTTACTGATATACGCACCAAAGACTCATTACAGATATTTGTACCAAAGACTCGCTACAGCTGATGGTGTGTGTGTGTGTGTTTGTGTGTGTGTTTCAGCCTCACTAAAGCGCTGGAGGAGGAAGAAGAGGAGGAGGATGACGAGAGGAAGAGGAGGCTGGAGGTCAAACCCACTCAGGCGTCGCACACTAATTACCTGCTGATGAGGGGATATTACACACCTGGAGTCCTGCGCTCACAGACACACAACTCCAACAGCACCGACAGCATCATGGTCAACACCTGCAACGTCCACCTGCAGCTGAGACAGACGCCCACACACACACTCTTCAGCAGCAGCGGTCAGCACAAACACATGCACGCGCACACACACACACACACACACTCTCACACGCGCACACACACTCTCACACGCGCACACACACACACACACACACACTCTCACACGCGCACACACACACACACACACACTCTCACACGCGCACACACACACACACACACACTCTCACACGCGCACACACACACACACACACACTCTCACACGCGCACACACACACACACACACACTCTCACACGCGCACACACACACACACACACACTCTCACACGCGCACACACACACACACACACACTCTCACACGCGCACACACACACACACACACACTCTCACACGCGCACACACACACACACACACACTCTCACACGCGCACACACACACACACACACACTCTCACACGCGCACACACACACACACACACACTCTCACACGCGCACACACACACACACACACACTCTCACACGCGCACACACACACACACACACACTCTCACACGCGCACACACACACACACACACACTCTCACACGCGCACACACACACACACACACACTCTCACACGCGCACACACACACACACACACACTCTCACACGCGCACACACACACACACACACACTCTCACACGCGCACACACACACACACACACACTCTCACACGCGCACACACACACACACACACACTCTCACACGCGCACACACACACACACACACACTCTCACACGCGCACACACACACACACACACACTCTCACACGCGCACACACACACACACACACACTCTCACACGCGCACACACACACACACACACACTCTCACACGCGCACACACACACACACACACACTCTCACACGCGCACACACACACACACACACACTCTCACACGCGCACACACACACACACACACACTCTCACACGCGCACACACACACACACACACACTCTCACACGCGCACACACACACACACACACACTCTCACACGCGCACACACACACACACACACACTCTCACACGCGCACACACACACACACACACACTCTCACACGCGCACACACACACACACACACACTCTCACACGCGCACACACACACACACACACACTCTCACACGCGCACACACACTCTCTCTCTCTCTCACACACACACACACACACACACACACACTCATGGTGTTTGTCATTCTTGTCTCTGTGTGTCTCGTGCAGCTGCTGCTGTCTCAGCTCTGTCTCCATCCGCTCCTCCGTCTCTCCCGCTGTTCTTCACGCATGTGTATCGCTCGGCTCCCGTCGGTCTGCAGGTGTTTCTGGACCGCTGTGTGAGCGTGCTGGGATACGGAGCGCAGGATGTGCAGGCGGTGACGGAGATCAGGCGTGCCGTGGAGGAGGAGGCGGAGTTTGGTGTTGACAGACAGGACCTCTGCGAGCGCTTCATACACCTGGACCAGCCCGAGGATGGGCGGAGCAGAACACTCCTGCAGTACATACAGGTGAGAGAGAGACAAACCAGTGATGAGTGAGCGTTCCCCGCGGGTTCAGCTGTCCTGAGAGTGTGTGTGTGTGTGTGCGCAGGATCTGGTGGACGGGGAGCAGCTGGTGGAGGCGGGCGCTCTCTCTCAGAGGCTGGTGTGTGCGGAGGCCGCGTCTCATTGGCTGTTACAGAGCAGGTGTGGGAGTGTGCAGATGCAGCAGGTGTTCCCAATGAGAAGCCCCGCCCATGACACCCCCCCACATACTAGAAGACAGACCGTGGAATCAGAATTACAGGAGACAGTCGCTGCGGATCCCATCTCCACAGACACAGCTGTCAATCAGACTGTCGCCAGGGAATCCGTCTCTACGGACACAGCTGTCAATCAGACCATCTCCACAGACACAGCTGAGAGTCAGCCTGTTTCCATGGAGATTGATCCTGAGGAGGCGGTCCATAAAGATAACGGAGGCTCAGAACAGCATATGTCAGATGACAAAGGGGTGGGGCTTAACACAGACCCTGCCCCCTCTCAGATGAAAGGTGTGTGTTTGGACTCTGAGGTGTTTTGACTCTGGTTTTCGTGTGTGTGTGTGTGTGTGTGTGTGTGTTGATGTTTCTGTTGTTGTTTCAGACGGAGCTGAAGGAGCTGCTGATCGGGACACACAGTGAGTCACACACTCATTCCCACGGATCTCTGGGATGCTCGGTTCTGATAGACCTTTTACACATTTGCGGGATTCTCAGCAGCGGAACTCGTCATAGTTGGGTTAACTTTGAGAGCAGTGAATGGGAGAGTACCACAAATATATTTCTTGCATTCCCATTTGCTCAAATAGCAAAAACAAACTCCAAACTTTGGAGTATTTACGATGCTGATGACTGTTGAAGTCTCGTGAAAAGGCTGTGTTGAGATGTTTCTGTGTGATGCAGTGCTCTGTCTGCTCTCTCTCCGGCAGCGGGTCGGTGTGGTTCGTCAGCCGGCCGTGGCGTGTGGTGGACGGCTCGCTGAATCGGCCCGTGTGTAAAGGCATGCTGGAGTCTCTGCTGCTGCACATCATGTCCAGCCCGGCGCTGCTCGAGTCCCAGCTGCTGCAGCACTACAGTCAGGTGCTGCAGCCCGTGGTGGTGCTGGACCTGCTGCAGGTGACCTCTACACGGCCCTCGGGCGATCACTCGAGTGCATGTGACTCCCCTCTGTTTGAATTCATTTGACTGTGGCGCTCGCAGGGGGTGGGCACTATGACCAAAAACTTCAACTATCACGATATGATTCATTTTATTTCACGATAACAGTATATATCACGATATGGTTATTTTTCACCAGTGTCAAAATCACAAAAATCTAATACTAGCCTAAATAATATTAGAAAAAACTAAAAACTCCAGCTCACTGAAGACAAGTAAACAGTCAGCGATTAAATAAGAATAAGAAACTAATTATAAGCAATAGGACAAAAAACTTCAGTAAAACAAATAAGAAATGCTACATACATTGTGTAAAGTACTCAAATGTATAAAAGCACTGTATATTCTTCACTGTGTAAATTAAATACATATTTCTCTTTTTTTAAAGTTACAAAAGTGATTTAGTCAAGGGCAGTGCGAGATTTTCTCTTTTGTTTTTTGATTAAAATGAATGACAGACTGCAGGAATATTAGACTGCTGTCACTTTAAGAGCTGCCCGGATCAGTATACGGTTTTCTTTCCCAGCTGTTTGCTTTCACCTAATACCTAAATTACTGTGTTTACGAGGATACTTGCAAAGACGAGCATTTTGACACGTACAAGTGCGTAAAGGCTTATAAAGCAGCAAAGATAACCCCACTCAATACTTCTCACAGCACTCAGACAACGCTTGCATGTACAACATGAGTTCTCTTTCACTGCTGATTGCGCTTCAACGGCTTAAAATCACTTGTTTTTTACCCGCAATGCTTAAAAATGCATGCAAACGATAAGTTTTCGTGACCACGTAGCACAGCAAAGTCACGTGAGCGTTTAACTGCGATAGAGACAATAATGTCAAATCTCTACCAGTGTATCGCCCAGCCCTCGTGTCTAGTGTCTCACAGAAGTGTGTGTGTGTGTGTGTGTGTGTGTGTGTGTGTGTGTGTGTCGTCAGGTCCTGGTGGATGTGGGCTGCGTGAGGAAGCGCTACACCGTCCAGCAGCACAAACCGTCACTCTTCTCCAAGCCCAGGGCGCCGCAGGTCAAAGGTCAGGCGGAGGTCAGTCTGAGGGATGCTGGGACGGACAATAATGTCAAATCTCTACCGGTGTATCGCCCAGCCCTCGTATCTAGTGTCTCACAGAAGTGTGTGTGTGTCGTCAGGTCCTGGTGGATGTGGGCTGCGTGAGGAAGCGCTACACCGTCCAGCAGCACAAACCGTCACTCTTCTCCAAGCCCAGGGCGCCGCAGGTCAAAGGTCAGGCGGAGGTCAGTCTGAGGGATGCTGGGACGGTGTTTTACGAGCCGACGGTGGACTGCGTGCTCAGACTGGCGCGGGTCTTTCCTCACGAGCTCAACTGGAACAAATGGGTGCAGCTGTGTCTGCGCGCGTGATGCTAATTGTTTTAATATCATCTGCTTCTGTTCATAAATCACAATAAAGACACAAGTCCATGATGTACCATTTCAGTTAAACATGTTTCTGGAGCAGCCAGCTGTTTTTTATTTTTTGTTTTGATGAAATGAACAATGAGAAAATGCTGAATATTACAGAGGAAGAGGATCTGAAGCAGCTCTAAACAGAGAGGATTTACAATTCTGTGTGAAGGTCTGCCACTGGGAAATGGCTTTATTTTGGACATTTTTGGAGATTAATCACGCCACATTAGTTTAAAAGGCTAATTTACTTTTAAACTTGTATGTTTCATCCTTACTAATAAATAGCGAGCAAGAGCTTGTGTTGTACAGTGAAAATGTAACTCGTGTCAATTGTGACACATCAGATACATTTCTGCAGACTTCAATCTCTTAAATCAAATTTATTGTAATTTCCACAGATGTTCATATCATTTCTTCTGGTCTTATCGTCTCAAAGCAAAACCCCTAAACATGATTCTTCTTCAGTCACTCGTGATGTGGTGTTGTGGCTCACTGTCGCGGCGTCAGCTTGAGTATGACGGGCTCTTTGGGAGCCAGCAGGCCGTTAAAGCTGAGCTCTAGAGGAATCTGTAGAGAGAGACGTCACACTGTTTCACTGCAGCGTTACACAAACACATGATGCTAATGTTTACAGGGTTTCTGCAGGTCTGAGAAAGACTTCATTCACACTTCCACAAATGATTAAAGCCTAAAAAGCTCTTAAATCAGAGCAGAACGTCTTCAGTTCATGCAGTCGTGGCATTAAATGTTGCATGCACTGCAAAAAAATGAATATCTTCCTCTGTGTTTTTGTCTTCCAGTACAAATACCTTAACATCCATTAATCAAGATACATTGGAGATGTGAATGCAGAACAAAGCCTGGACAAGTTTAAAGTTGTATTTATTCTTAAAACAAGAACAAATATCTGGCAGCTGGAAATGAACAGAGATATTCAAGCCTTAAGCTCGCTCTTTTGTAAAATTAAGTAGTGTACATTTATTAAAGTTTTCAGACTTTAAAGTGTTGCTAATAAAGTCATTGTGTTTCTCTCTAGACATTTACAATTAGAGAATATATAGGTGTGTTCTGTTCCCTTCAGTTTATTCCTTAGTTTGTCTTTACTTGGCATTACCAAGTACCTTTAAAAAAAAGTCTTAAATGTACCTTCTTAAAACTTGCAGAACCCTGGGTTTTAATCCAGATGTATCAGTTTAGAGCTGGGCAAACCGGTATAGTTTGGTGCCGATATACAGGTGCATCTCAATAAATTAGAATGTCATGGAAAAGTTCATTTATTTCAGTAATTCAACTCAAATTGTGAAACTCGTGTATTAAATAAATTCAATGCACACAGACCAAACAATGTAGCTCCTCAGAAACAGTTGTGGTTGTTACAAAGTTGTTGCCGAGCAACAGACAAACGTAAACAAAGGTGTATGTTACTTTGTAGAGTAATTTACAACAGCTTTGAACGCAGCTCAGCCAATCAGAATCAAGCACCGGAACTCTCCGGTTTATAATAAAGGGTTAGTTCACCCACAGATGGGTTCAGGGTGAGTAAAACACAGGCTGATTTTCATTTTTGGGTGAACTAACCCTTTAATGTTAAAATGGTTTAATTTTTATTCGATTGATCTATTGAGTTCGATTACATCTACACAATATGGATAAGTTTTGCATACAGACATTGTCAAAACATTCCCCGTTCACACGCTTCCACAAAAGATGCTGTATTATTAATGTCAGGCCAGTAGGTGGCGATCAGCGTTGCCAGATTTTCACAACAAAACCCGCCCAATGCTACTCAAAACTAGCCCAATCGAGGGTCCCCTGGTAGCAGTGTTAAAGTAGCCCAATCCCGCGTTTTAAAAAACTTGCACTTTGAAGCTTGTTATCAAAAGTTTTCAGGCCCCAAAATGCCATCGTCGTGTAAAGACCGTCCGAACACATAAAAAGTGTTCTGTCTTTAGTTGAAAACGTCGTCGTGTTGCACCGCGTGAGCGATGCGCGTGCAGAGAGGCTCCGCCCACACACTCTTCTGATTGGCTGTGGTTTGCGATAGATTTTGTTGCGTCTGGTGTAGACAGACACAACAATGGAAGTAAAGCAGCTGAACGTGAGAGGACTCTGAGATGCTTCACCTTTCTCCGTGTGTTCCTCGCTGCTTCCACGCTCAGGTTTCCCTGCTGTCTGAGAATCGACCATCAGCTGCAGGAAGTCCACTCGCTTCTACAGGAAGTGAGAAACATGCTCTGATGACAGCTTCATTTAAAGGCTCATATCTGTCTATTTGTTCGTGTGAAGTGTTTGTCGTACCTTCTTGTGGTCCTTGGCCACTCTTTCGGACTTGAGCTTCTTTAGGGCAGCGTAGAAGAAATTGGTCACAGATGTCGGGAAGAGGGCGTAATTCATTTTCTCCAGGACAGGGGTGATGAAAGGAAATAAAGCTAATGAAGACATTCAAAAAGGTACGTTAGCTTTTTAAAAACCTGTACCTGTAGCGATGCTGTTTGTCACCCACACTAACAAATCAATGCATTCTCATGGATGCAACAGCATTGCCATCAATTCCAGATGAAATGGGATAACCTTTCACAAGTGGGAATTTCGCCTAGTGTTTTTATTATTATTATTTTTATTAATTTGGTATGATTAAGTTTGGGGAAAAAATAATGTGTTAAATTAGTAATATATTTAAGGCCAGACCTGTGTGTCGTCTTACACTGCATAAATCTATATATATTAACAAACGGAGTGAGTGAATGATTCAGTGACTCATTCACACAAGCTGTCTTTGTTTCTGAATGCGTCAGAATGAACGATTTAATGAATGAATGAATGACAGTGCTGTAATGTAACGAAGTAATAATACTTTGTTACAGTATTTAAGTATATTTTGGGAGTATCTGTACTTTACTTGAGTTTTTATGTTTCAGCCAACTTTTACTTTTACTCCACTACATTTCCTAATTAAAATGTATACTTTTACTCCGATACATTTCCCCAAAGCATATTCGTTACTTAGAAGAACACGGACTGCAGGGAAGCAGGTTTGACGAATCAGTGGTCTGGCGTTTGCAAGTTAGACTCCTAAAAACACCTTTGCTCACGTGCAAACAAGTGCGTGCACAACCGCGGATGATTCATTTTCCTCTCAAGTCGAGTCTGGGGTGTGCGATACAACATCGTCTGCGATAATATGAAAAAATACTTTTCGTACTTAAGTACAATAAATATCACATACTTTAAGACTTTTATGCAAGTAATATTCTAAACGGTGACTTCAACTTCTACCAAAGTCATTTTCTGGTAAGATATCTGTACGTTTACTTGAGTATGGCTTTCAGGTACTTTATACAGCACTGCTGAATGATTCATTGACAGATTCTTTGAGACTCAACGCCACCTATAGGTGCTTTAGTTTCGTATTTAGAAAGCGTATCATTTGAATTTTTTAATCAATTTGTAGTTCAATATTCAATTAAAAATATCAATACCCATTTATTATAATTTTTCATGCAATGTTGAATCGAAATGTTTTTCTCTAAAGCTACTTTTTTGTAATGTCTATTCAATGCTTTACTCTCCTCATGGGGTGATTGATGTGCTATTACTTAGATTAATTAATTGGTACGTCATGTAGCCTTCATCATTGGTCACTGTTCTAATATGGCAGCCCATAGAGACATCAGCGTATTCTGTTGAGACTTTACCGATGATCAGGAAGAGAGGGTTGAACAGGTCAAACTTCAGCATTTTCTTGATGTTGGTCACAAATGGGTCTTTAGGGTTGTTGAGAGAGTCGATGTCGACGCTGAACGCCGTGCTGGTCACCACATCCATACTGTACGCCCCGAAAAACCTGAACACATGCAGACCAGAGAGAGCTAATGCTCAGTTACTCTGATAAATATATTCTTCTCTTTCAGTCGTGTGACTTTTTACGGAATAATTTCTGCTTCTTGTCTGTTCTAATCATGAATTCACTGGAATTGTGTATGATTCACTCTCAGTGACGTGATTCATCACGACCCTCAAAAGCTCTCATAAACGCAGTTTCAAATATGTTTTTCATTTCATTGTTATTGAATCATTTCAGTTTGTGAACCAGATGTTCTGATTCTTTCATAGCTTCATCCGCAAGTCTCACACTCACCCC